GAAATGCTCACAGTTGTGTGGGCATGATAGTGAAGGCTTCCTGTTGTTCAGGACGGTTTCCTGTTGTGAGTGAATGCATCACCGCTGCCCAGTTCAGCTGAAATCATTTCTCAGCAGTAAGGGCTGGGTTAATCTTCACTGGTTCATTGGTAAATGGGACCACGGGCGGATGGAACATGAATGTAGCAATAGCCCGGCTTTTCTGTTTCTACAGCTGGCTTGATGGGGACTCTAGCTAACTGATTGGATGGCGTCACTCCGGGCTGAGTGAAAGCGCCTTAGCCAAGGGGGCAAGGGAGCACTGCCATTCCTGCGCCTACACAAAGGCCTCTACTTTGGGATCTCAGCGTTTCTGTGAAAGTATTCCCAACGCCTGGCCTTGCATGGAGAGCTTGTTCCCTAATCTCCAGCCTCCTTCGGCCACCAGTGCCCGGACACCCTCCTTGCATCCATCAAGGAGAGGCCCTCCGGTCTCCGGTCCAGCCCTCCGGTCTCAGATACATTAGCTCGCTTCCAGGGGTGCTTGGCGCAACATGCTTCTTTGCACACAGACACATGGAGGTGCAGAGCCCTTTGAAGGCGCCCTAGCTGTGGGCATCTGCAGGTCTCAGGCTAGGACTGAGCCCAGAGTCCGCTGGAAAACCCTGTATTAATACTTAGCACTAGGGTGACCAGATGTCCCAATTTTATAGGGACAGTCCCAATATTTGGGGCTTTTTCTTATATAGTCACCTATTACCCCCCCCCCACCCCGTCCCGATTTTTCACACTTGCTATCTGATCACCCTACTTAGCACTGACATTGTCCCTTTCATCTGAGGATCTGAAAGCACCTTACAAAGATAAGTCACATCACCCCCATTTGATAGGCAGGGAAACTGAGGAACAGAAAGGGGCTGTGGATTGCCCGAGGTCCCACAGGGAGCCAGGGGCAGAGCCAAGAGTAGAACCCAGGAGTCCTGGCCACATTGCAATGCTGGTATTAATGACTGACCTGCTTTCAAAACCAAGGAAGGTCTGGATCAGGAACAACCCCCCACCTCTCACCACCCACTGTCCCCATTAAGCTCTGGCTGGACTCACCTGTCAGGAAGGGGCTGGAGGCTCTGCTGCCTAGCCTGGATCCTGCGCTGGGCAGAGGTAGCATTGAGGGCTGCTCGTGCAGGGTAAGTGGCACTTGTACCTAGCAGAAGAAAAAAAAAAGGGGAAGTTGCAACACGCCTTAACCTAACCACATTTTTTGCAGGATGGACCCACCCAACGCAGCTGAGAGGTGGTGGAGGAAGCGTAAAACAATCGAGGGCAGTTAGGGAGTTCACCCCATGCCGTACTAGTGCTGGATTCGGACGGGGCCGTGGGGCGGGGTCTGCATGGTCTAGGGAAGATCGAGTTTCTCGGCATGGGCTGAAAGGCAGCAGGGGGGGTCTCTCCCCATGTCAGAGGAGTTCTGCCAGAGTAATGCCTGCGGGATCAGGCCTGTCACAAGTAGTAAGCAGCATGGGGGGGTCTGCTATGGGGTCCCCTGAGCTAGAAGAGGACCCAGGTGCGCTGATCGTAAAGGAGATTCTTTGCGGAGGTCACTGGTCACAAATAAGACTATTGGTCATGTGCTGAGAGTCAGGCACTGCCCAAGCACCTTGCTGAATCACGCTCAGCTGGGGGCGCTCGCAGTCAACACGCCCAGTGGCCGAGCGGTCCCGGTGCTGAGAGCCGCAGAATCCCACTGGCACCGGCAGGTGGGCAGGAGACTGGAGATGGCCATCGCTGTGCCCCCGTCCTGCTGGCGCGGAGGTGCAGGCCACACGCTGAAAGGATGGGGGCCACCTTCTGCCCATGGCAGGTACCGCTGGCCGCAGCCAAATCACAGCCCTCCCTTAAGGCAGAGAGGCATATCTCACCCGGCTTTGTGCCCAGACTGACTCTGCCGGCACCTTTCCTGCCAAGGCCCTGAGCCTGCAAGCAGGCCCAGGAAACCCTCCCACTCCGCGCCGTTCCAACACGACACGCCCGACGGGAGAGGAGTCCCAAGCATTACAAGGGTGCATGCAAGGGGCTGTCCCATCAGGGACCCATTCGCTCCTGCTGGGGCTTTCTGAAGGCAAATGGGCTGAACTCAGCTGGGTCCTTCTCATGCTGCTTGCTCAGTGCGGACTGATTTGCATCGCATTCTTCTCAGTCACTGACTCACAGCTGTGCCACCTGGCCCCCTGCACCTCTGAGAAGGGAAACCCCCTCACATCAAGGCCAACCAGGGGCTCCTGTGTTCCCACTTAGCTGCTTCTGCCTCACGCAAGCCACGCTGGTGCTGTGCGGCGTGGAAACTTGCAAGTAAATCCTGCTCTTGGCCCTAGGAGGTGCCGTTCCTGCCTACCCCCCCGAGCAAGGAGAAGCTGATGAGACAACTGAGAATAAAACCTCACCAAGGAAACGGTGTTGTAAAA